AACCCACCAATAAATCCATTTGTCAATTAACCCTCCAATCTTTCATCAATTAACCCACCAATCAATCAATTATGCAGGGAAAGAGGGGTATACTTTTTAAAACGATTCCCTTTACCTCTTGAATAAGGACTTGTTAAACCTCGCTTCCATGTCTGTGCTGTGTTTTGCTGGGAAGTGCCTGGCATAGCAAAATTTTATTTCAATTTTTCACGAAAATTATTCCTTAAACTATTCATGCTTTTTGGTCCCAAAATCATAAAATTTATATTAATATATTCCAATTTTCAAATCTCTTATATGAAAGGTAACTTATTTTAGAGCAAAAAAGGCGGGAAAAGAAGAAGAGGAAACCCGCGAAGACAATTTTCGATATCTATGATCCCTACGATCTGGAGATGGGACATTATACTGATCTTGATCAAGAAATCAGAACTACAGATATACCAGAACGTATNCGTAATTTCAAGTGACCCTCAGCTCAATGCAAAGAGAGAAATGTCTGATCCCCAAAAATACCATTTAAACCCCAATCTGATAATAAAAAGTCTTTAATTCTGATAATTTCTCCCCATTTCTTTATGCGGAAATGCGCAAGTCTCTTTTATAGAGAAACCTCAATGTAAAACAATAAGATATCAAAATGAGAAACATTGATAGCCTGTTCATTCTTAAATATGACAATGCTTTTAGAGTACTAGCATAAATCTGACATCCCATTCTCTAAATGGAGGGTCACTTGAAATTACGCCTTACAGTACCTTTAATAAATTTAAAGAACATCATTAAAAAAAACTAAACTAATGATCTAGATAAAAAAAAACAAAGAACGATAAAAGAAAAAAGATCAAGATAAAGAAAAAATAAAGCGTAGGATGACTGTAGGAACGAATAATTGAACGATCGAACACCCCCAAACAAACAAACGAAGAAATGAAAAAACAGACAGACATATAAGCAAGAGAACAATCATCAAACAAACACAAACAGGTTCATCAAACTGGCGCGGTCAATTCAAGTATTTGAAAAATAATCAAAAATAATGAACAAACAGGGCAATAAGCGAATATATGCATTAAAGAAGTGACAGAAAGACAAGCGAAAGAGCGACAGATTAATCTAATAAAAAAGACGATCAAACAAAGGATTGTACGAACTACGAAACGACAACTTGACCAATAGATAATTTTGTCCATGGATACACTTCAGTGGCAAGGAGCGTCGACCCCTAATTCATTGATTAATGGATTTTCTGCTAATAATAATAATGATAATAAATGAAAAAATGTTTCAAGATATGAATAAACCATTAATAAATCAAATTATTTAGACCATCTCACAGCAAGCTGATTACACCCACGCAGATTGCAGGCACTGGCAGGATAGGTCTAGTACTACAGAGAAAATTAAGAAAGCTCTTGATTTCATGAGACAACAGTTCCTGGAGGTTCCATTCATAGCTTTCTATAGGTAGGTTCCATTCATAGCTTTCTATAGGTAGATTCCATTCATAGCTTTCTATAGGTAGGTTCCATTCATTGCTTTCTATAGGTAGGTTTCATTCATAGCTTTCTATAGGTAGGTTTCATTCATAGCTTTCTATAGGTAGATTCCATTCATAACTTTCTATAGATCGGTTCCATTCATTGCTTTCTAAAGGTAGGTTTCATTCATAGCTTTCTTAAGGCGGCCCTGTAAAAATTGTTCAGAGGTGCACTTTTTCTTTTGAATAGATATATATGAAACTAAGAAAAATCCGAAATATTTTTTATTTTTGACCATTTTTTCCGGTGCCGTCGAAAAAAACTTGATTTTTTGGCCATTTTTGAACTTTATTGATTTTATTTCTTAAAACTTTTATAAAATCCAAAGTTTTTGACTGAGAATAATGTTTTATATCATTTTGGAAATCCCAGATAATGGTCTAAAAGATAAAACCAACTTATACTGAATATTTTGAAAAATCATAGTTTTATAAGCAGTTTTAGCCCCAAAATCATCGATTTTATTGATGCGCACTTGCAGCTCACTAACATACCCTGAGAACTGAACAAAAAAAAATTATTTTTGTTTTCATTTTCTATATTTTATACTTAATCTAAAATGTCCTTACTTTTTGAAATACCTTCAAAAATGGTCGATAAATGAACAGTTCAAAAAATTCCGTTTGGTAGGTTCCATTCATAGCTTTCTATAGGTAGGTTCCATTCATTGCTTTCTATAGGTAGATTCCATTCATAGCTTTCTATAGGTAGGCTTCATTCATAGCTTTCTATGGTAGATTTCATTCATAGCTTTCTATAGGTAGATTCCACTCATAGCTTTCTATAGGTAGGTTCCATTCATAGCTTTCTTCAGGTAGATTTCATTCATAGTTTTCTATAGGTTGGTTCCATTCATAGCTTTCTATAGGTAGATTTCATTCATAGCTTTCTATAGGTAGGTTCCATTCATAGCTTTCTATAGGTAGATTTCATTCATAGCTTTCTATAGGTAGATTTCATTCATAGCTTACTATAGGTAGATTTCATTCCTTTCTATAGGTAGATTTCATTCATAGCTTTCTATAGGTAGGTTCCATTCATAGCTTTCTATAGGTAGATTTCATTCATAGCTTTCTATAGGTAGATTTCATTCATAGCTTACTATAGGTAGATTTCATTCATAGGTTTCTATAGGTAGATTTCATTCATAGCTTTCTATAGGTAGGTTTCATTCATAGGTTTCTATAGGTAGATTTCATTCATAGCTTCTATAGGTAGATTTCATTCATAGCTTACTATAGGTAGATTTCATTCATAGGTTTCTATAGGTAGATTTCATTCATAGCTTTCTATAGGTAAATTCCTTTCATAGTTTTTTTAGCCATGTTCCATTCATAGCTTTCTATAGGTAGGTTCCATTCATAGCTTTCTATAGGTAGATTTCATTAATAGCTTTCTATAGGTAAATTCCTTTCATAGTTTTTATTGCCATGCTCCATTCATAGCTTTCTATAGGTAGGTTCTATTCATAGCTTTCTATAGGTAGGTTTTATTCATAGCTTTCTTTAGGTAGATTTCATTCATAGCTTTCTATAGGTAGGTTCCATTCATAGCTTTCTTTTGGTAGATTCCATTCATAGCTTTCTATAGGTAGATTCCATTCATAGTTTTCTAAAGGTAGATTAAATTTTACTTTTGACAGCTAGTTTCCATTCATAGCTTTCTCAAAGCTTCAAAAATTAAACAAAAATAAATAAATCAATTCTTGAATAAGGACTTGTTAAACCTCGCTTCCATGTCTGTGCTGTGTTTTGCTGGGAAGTGCCTGGCATAGCAAAATTTTATTTCAATTTTTCACGAAAATTATTCCTTAAACTATTCATGCTTTTTGGTCCCAAAATCATAAAATTTATATTAATATATTCCAATTTTCAAATCTCTTATATGAAAGGTAACTTATTTTAGAGCAAAAAAGGCGGGAAAAGAAGAAGAGGAAACCCGCGAANAATGATAATAATGATAATAATGATAATAATGATAATAATGATAAGAATGATAACATTGATATCAATGATATCAATGATACTCTAGGATGACCTGGATAGACTGGACGTAGTTGATAGTGTTGAAGAACTGAAAGATGTTTACCAACACTTCCTTCTTTATCATTCCAGGAATATTGGTGCATGTCAGGTAATAACATGTTTATTCAGGGATATATATGTTTATCATTCCTCTCCCCTCCCTTCAAGAATAATTTTTTGGGGGGAAAACTTTCACATTTGGAAGATCAGACTTGTAGTTGATAGAAAACTGGTTTAAGTGTCTGAAAGTAAAAAAAAATACAATTTTAGAGAGATAAAAACCTTTCCCTATTGAAAATAAATTCCCGGCCAGATGTTAGGTGTGTTTGGGGTTTACTTGCTGAATGACAATTGTACATTGTACATTGTACTAGTATATTTGACTTGTGTTATGAGCTTGAATAAGATATAGAATATTATTTTTGTTAAGGACTACCACCGTAAGAGAGCGAAAGAGGAGAAAGCTGAGAGAAAGGAAAGGAAAAAAGCTGGAAAACAGAAGAAATATAAGACAATCAAGAAGAAGATCAGGTTCGGGTTTTCTAAAATATATTTCTCCGAAATTTTTAATTTTATTACCGCCATATTGAATTGTTTAACCACCATTTTGAATTTTATATGCGCCATATTGTTTTTTTTTGCTCTTCTCCCCTTTTTTGAACCCCCCCTTCTTAAGTTTTTTAATGTACGCATTCGATTTTGGATTTAATGATTTAAAAATGGATGGTAATTGTATTTTTGGTAGCTTGACTTACTGTCTTTACTCCTTCAATTAAACTTTTCATTTTCACATTTATTATTTTACTTTTTTATTAGGGTTTTGTTATGTTAGATAATCCCGTTTACGGCTTTCAGATCAAACTGAATTTAAAATTAATTTATAAATTAAAAATGAATGTTTCAAGGCGTAAAGCGACGCGAATTGTGAAGAAAACAGTGACAGAGACCGTAAACAACGAGGAAACGGGAGAGGAGGAGGATATAGAGAAGGTGATTGACTGATTGATTGATTGATTGATGGGATTATCGTATAATAATAGATTGATATAAAAATTAAATGATTTATTGATTGACTGATTGACATATCCATTGATTGATTCGACAAATAACAATTGATTACTAGTTATATTGATCGATTGATTGATTGATTGATTTATTGACTGATTAATTGTCTGCTCCAGGAGGTTGAGGAGGAGGTTGAGACCGAGGTAGAGAGTGAGGTCGACGAGGAAGTGACCGACGACGAGGCAATGCTGGAGGACAATGACGAGGATGAAGAGGAGGATGAGGAAGAAGAGGAACAGGTGAGAAATATTAGAACTAGAAGTGGAATATATTTTTTTCGAAAAATACCCCCCCCCCTCACAAGGTGACCCTCCATTTTTGAGTGACATGTCTGATTCACAACGCTATCCTGTAAACCTTTGTATGATCTTTTCTTGAAAAGTTGAGTTTTTTATCGTGGTTTCTTATTAATGCGGATTTAAGCTGAACACAAGGAAATAATTTGTTAGAATTCAACATGTGTTACCTAGAAATACGGGGCCATATCTTCCCTTTTTTTTACTCAGTAAGAGGTTGAAAGTGTACCATTGTAAATCGGTCATGCCACTCCTTAAATGGAACTTACGTTTACAGACCCTTCAATTTACGTTGCTGTTTACATTTGAAGTTAGAAACTGGATTGGTGACCTGTTCTCAATGTTAAGATGTGTACACCTAGAGTTAGAAACTGGATTGGTGACCTGTTCTCAATGTTAAGAAGTGGTCACCTAGAGTTAGAAACTGGATTGGTGACCTGTTCTCAGTGTTAAGAAGTGTACACCTAGAGTTTGAAACTGGATAGGTGACCTGTTCTCAAAGTTAAGAAGTATACACCATGAGTTAGGAACTGGATTGGCTAACTGTTCTCAATGTTAAGAAGTGTACACCTAGAGTTAGAAACTGGATTGGTGACCTGTTCTCAATGTTAAGAAGTGTACACCTAGAGTTAGAAACTGGATTGGTGACCTGTTCTCAGTGTTAAGAAGTGTACACCTAGAGTTTGAAACTGGATGGTGACCTGTTCTCAATGTTAAGAAGTGTACACCTAGGGTTAGAAACTGGATTGGTGACCTGTTCTCAATGTTAAGAAGTGTACACCTAGAGTTTGAAACTGGATTGGTGACCTGTTCTCAGTGTTAAGAAGTGTACACCTAGAGTTAGAAATTGGATTGGTGACCTGTTCTCAATGTTAAGAAGTGGTCACCTAGAGTTAAAAACTGGATTGGTGACCTGTTCTTAATGTTAAGAAGTATACACCTAGAGTTAGAAACTGGATGGGTGACCTGTTCTCAAGTTAAGAAGTATACACCTAGAGATAGAAACTGAATGGGTGACCTGTTCTCAATGTTCAGTGTACACCTAGAGTTAGGAACTGGATTGGTGACCTGTTCTCAATGTTAAGAAGTGTACACCTAGAGTTTGAAACTGGATTGGTGACCTGTTCTCAGTGTTAAGAAGTGTACACCTAGAGTTAGGAACTGGATTGGTGACCTGTTCTCAATGTTAAGAAGTGTACACCTAGAGTTAGAAACTGGATTGGTGACCTGTTCTCAGTGTTTAGAAGTGTACACCTAGAGTTAAAAACTGGATTGGTGACCTGTTCTCAATGTTAAGAAGTGTACACATACTTAATATTTACAAAAGCATCTGTATTTAGGAAGAGGAAGAAGTGATTAAATATGCTAAAAGGAACGATGCATACTCACTCTGTGTTAAGTTCAAGGTAAAGTTTGATTGATTGGTTGAATTAAAGATAGGTTAAATGTTTTTGGCGAGTAATTAATGTCCTTATTCTTCAATTTGTTAATTTCCATTGTTATTTCGAGAAATATTCCGAGTCCAGTAAGTTTTTGTACATTTTTTTGGTCTCATTGTAGTTAAGAAATTTTAACCAGTGCTAAGAAATAAGCATTTAGACTCCAGGAGTCCAGATCCATTTATTCCGTGACATTTTGGCTCGGTAGTTCCGGATCCGGAAAAAGTGACAAAAAATCTACCAAAAAAAATGAAGAAAAATTTTGATGCTCTTTAAATTTCAACTAATTTATGTAATATCCTCTTATTCTCAAATATTGATGAATGGTTTCTGCGGCAAAAAAATGTGAATTCAAAAAAAAGAAAATGTTGGCCATTTGTTTTTGGTAAAATAAAGAATTCTGTTTCTGATCCGAAATCCGATCCGAGATATTTAAAGAACGCTGATTACAGCTCCTGAACTGAAACATATTTAGTTGTCTGGTTTGGCAAAAACGTTTGGTTTGACCCCAGAGGAGTTTGGGGAGAACTTGCAGGACAACTACGCCAAGCACGACGTGCCCGAGGAGACCAGGGAGTTCGAGGATGTTGCAGCAGAGTATATGAATGATAAGATTAATACCAAGGTTGGTAACAAAATTTTCCCAAGAACTAATCTCGTTTGCTGAAAATAAATATAAATTTGTTTATACTTAAAGGGACTGTAAGCGTAATTTCAAGTGATACTTCATGCAAAGATGGCAATACCTGATTCAAAGGTTTATTATCTTAAAAACTGCATAATTTTATTTGTGGTTTCTGTACAAAAGTGTAATGCGCATTTCTCTATGTTAAGAATTATCTGAATTTAAGACATTTAAACCAAAATTACGCTTACAGTCCCTTTAGGGAGATTAAGTGGAAGCGCTTCAAATAACCAACTAAATTGAAAGTGTAAAACCTTCCCACTCATCTTAAATGCATAACTTTCTTGTTTTCGTTTTTCCTTAAAACTACGGAATCTTCTGTTGTCGGTCTTGAATGGTCAAAATTCAAGAACAGTCCCTCCAAATAATATTTTGACAATGTTTAGGAGGCGGTCGCAAAAGCAGCAGTGTATATGGTCGCTTCACAGTTAGCCAGGGAACCAATTATTCGCTCCACGCTCAGAGATATTCTTCATGTAAGTATTTTTTTCGAGTCCTGTTTTTTTTTGGTACTTGTTTTTTTGTGATCTTGTATTTTGTAAGTCCTTGTTTTTTTTCTGAGTCTTTGTGTTTTTTTTAGTCCTTTTTTCGGATTCCTTGTGTTTTTTTAGTCCTTGTTTTTTTCCGACGTCTAGTTTTATTTATAGTCCTTGTTTTCTTCGGAGTCCTTTTATTCTGAGTTCTTTTGTTATTCCGAGTCCTTGTTTTTCTGAGTCCTTTTTTTGAGTCTTTGTTTTTTCTTTCATGAGTTTCTGTTCTTTTTTTTTCTCTCATAAGTTTTGTTTTTGTTTCTTTCATTAGTTCATGTTTATGTTTTTCTTTCACGAGTTTTTGTTCTTGTTTTTTCTTTTATGAGTTCATTTTTTTGTTTTTGTTTCTTTCATTAGTTCATGTTTATGTTTTTCTTTCACGAGTTTTTGTTCTTGTTTTTTCTTTTGTGAGTTAATTTTTTTTCTCAACAGTTTTTGTTCTTATTTTTTCTTTCAAAAGTTCATGGTTATGTTTTTTCTTTCATTAGTTCATGTTTTTTTCTGGTACATGAATTATGTCCATACCCCCAATACAACCAATTTGCATACTCATATTACGCTACTATTAATTAATGGCTACAACCAAAATGTGTTAAGAATGTCTAATATGTATTGTATGCCCTGGAGATTAACGTAATATGGCCTACAGGACATGGTAATTTTACTGTAGGTTGAATGATAATAAGAATATTAGATAACAATTGTTGATAAACCTTTTATTTAGGAACGTGCAACTGTTACAGTCTGGCCTACAAAGAAAGGAACTAAAGAAATTGGAGAGGAACATGACATGTACACAATGAAATATCTTAGGAATAAACCAGTCAGATCCTTTAAGGTATTTTTACTGTTTTTACCCTTTTTACAAAATTACACAATTTTAACGTAAATTTTACGTAATTCTTCAATTTAAATGTTACTAAAAAGTGTACAATGTACACTGTACAACATTATATGTAAAGTTTATGTTAATGATATTATGCAAAAATCATGCAAAAATTACGTAATGTAAGAAAGGAATTAAAAAATCTAAAGGAACATGACATTTATACAATAAAATATCTTAGAAAAAACCCAGTCAGATCCTTTACTATCCGGCCCTATGTATCAAATTATGTAATTTAAATGTAAATCTTTAATGTAAATGTTGTAAAAGTGTACCACATCAAATATTAATTTTATGCTAATGATTGAGAACATTTTATGCAAAAACTGCTTAAAATGTTCCTTAACTTGCAACCTACTACTACGTATATCATCATCAGATTTTGTAGACTTTTGATACAAACCAACCTACCAACAAACAGACAAGCAAAAAATTTATGTGTAATTTATTATTATAATTATTATTATTGTTTCAATTAGGACGAGGAGTTCTTGAAATTGATGACTGCTGTGGATTCTAGATTAGTGGAGTTGAGTATTGGAGAGGATCTTCAGGGATCCACAGATGGATCCAGTTATATAGGTAGGGATCCTGTAAAATATATAGGGATCCAGTTATATAGGTAGGGATCCTGTAAAATATATAGGGATGCAGTTATATAGGTAGGGATCCTGTAAAAAATATAGGGATCCAGTTATATATGTATGGAACCAGTTATTTTTATATGTAAGGATCCAGTTATATACTTAGTGTTCCAGTTATATAGTTAGCGGTCCAGTTATACAGGTAGGGATTCAGTTATAAAGGAAGGGATCCAGTTAATAAGGAAGGTATTCAGTTAATAAGGAAGAATCCAGTTTCTCTAGTGCTACAATTCAGTAATACAGGTAGGTACCCAGTTTGTTAGGAACGGATTTTAAAAAGATATGGCTCTGGTTCAGGGATTGTATAGGATATGATGTTTGGTCCTGTCCCTAAATCAACATTTTTCAAAGCCGTTTAAAGTTTTCAGGCAGAGAAAGATAAACAAAGCCTTGTCTTAAACTCATTCTGTCTGGATGTGTTCAGCATCAAGCTTAAATCCATTTATAATATTTCTGTACTCATGATTTGATATTCACGTTTACAATGGTTGGTAGGGAAATCACAATAACTATATCCATGATATTAATTATAACGATATAAAAAATAATGATAATAATATTGATAAAAATGATTCTAATAAATATGATATATAGCTGAGGCTGTGGATCTGTATAAAGAAGAAGGATTCTCAAAGAAGGTTGCTGAGTGGAACCAACTGAGGAAACAGGCGGTAGAGCTAGCTCTTAAGGTACTCATTAAAAGACGTTGGTTGGTTGGTTGGTTGGTTGGTTGGTTGGTTGGTTGGTTGGTTGGTTGGTTGGTTGGTTGGTTGGTTGATTGATTAATTGCCATACTGACACAGTTTAATTTATTAGTTAACTAAATTTTTAATTGTTAGATTCCTCATTTTCATTCATTATTTCATCCTCTTATACTTGCTTTCATTTGATTGATTGATTGATTGATTGATTTTCCTCAGGAAATGCTGCTGCCCCAGCTTCGAAAGGAACTGATCAACAAGATGAAGTATGAGGCCATAGANTTAGTTATTTAATCATTTTATTGATAGATTCCTCATTTTCATTCATTTTTTCATCCTTTTATACTTGCTTTCATTTGATTGATTGATTGATTGATTGATTGATTGATTGTTTGATAGATTGATTGATTGATTGATTTTCCTCAGGAAATGCTGCTGCCCCAGCTTCGAAAGGAACTGATCAACAAGATGAAGTATGAGGCCATAGAAGGTCAGTTAATAATCACATGCGCCATCTTGAATTTTATAATGGCCATCTTAAAATGTATTTTATTATGGCCATCTTGAATTTAATATCGGCCATCTTAAAGGGTATAACAGCCATCTTTAATTTTATAACGGCGATCTTGTGTATAACTGCCAATTTGCAGTATTGAGTTTCATATCCGCCATCATGATTTGTATATCCCCGCCATCTTGAAAGTTTTTTTTGTTTAGGAATAAAGCGTGCTTGTCAGCGCACCCTCGAGGACTGGATTAAATGGGCTCCGTATCAGGTCACGTGGGACGAGGATTTGGACGAAGACGATTGGGATACAAGGTCCTTCATTTATTTATTCATTATATGTTATTTATTTGTTTATAAATTTATTCATTAAATGAGTCATTGAGTCATTGAGTCATTGAGTCATTGATTGAGTCATGGAGTCATTAATATTTAATTCATTTATTCATCAATATTAAATTCAATTATTAATTAATGAAAATTAATATTTTATCTTTAGTGGCGGACACCGAATACTTGGTATCGCCTACAGCCCTGATAGAGAAGAGGCGGGGTTCGCCGCCTTAATAACGGCGGAGGGCGAGCTCGGCGATTATATCAAGAGAGTGACAATCATAATCAAACATTTGACAGCATAAAATTTGAAGAAAAAAATTATTATTATTTTTTTCTTCTTGAATCCGAACAAGATTAAGATTTTTTTTGTGATAAGATAAGGTAATTTATTGTTTCTAAAAGTCACAAAACCCTGAGCTTCAAAAATACTTTTTTTATTTTTTGTTTGATTATGATTTGGTTTAACTAGAATTCCCTTCCTCACCTACTCCAACAAGTCCTGGCAGGAAAGAGAACGGCTGGGGAAAGAGCAGGAAATATATCATCCTGAAGAGTCATTTGTCAAAATTGATCCAACATAGTGAAATAAAATGGGAATTGATGAAATCTATGAAAAGTTTAAGTGGCAACATTTTATGAGAATGGATAAAATTGGTGAAATTTTATGGAAATTAATTCAAGTAGTGAAAAATTAATTTTGAATTTTTTTTATTTATGCCATAACTAATTTTTTTCATTGACTTTCATTTACCATACATTTTATGGTATATAAAAGTTGAAGAAAAAAAATATGTTGGAAAATTGAGTTGAATTGGCCAAATTTGGCCAAAAGCTGTGAAAAGTTGTGTGAAGTGGTTAAAAATTGATAAAAATGGGGGAAAATTATGAAAATTGATAAAAACTAAAAATTTTGATGTTTAATAAAAATTGATGAGAAAATTGATTAAAAAAATTTGATAACTTGATGAAAATTGTTGAAAATTAGTGAAAATTGATGAAAATTGATGAAAATTGATGAAAATTTATGAAAAAGTGAATGGTAAAATAGATGGGAAAATTGATGAAAAATGGATTAAAAAAATGGATGAAAATTGGTGGAAAAATGGATGGAAAAATGAATGGTAAATGAATGGAAAAATGAATGGAAAAATGAATGGAAAAATGAATGGAAAAATGAATGGAAAAATGGATGGAAAAATAGATGGGAAAATGGATGAAAAAATGGATGAAAAAATGGATGGAAACATGGATGAAAATTGATGAAAAATTGATGAAAAATTGATGAAAAATGGCTAAAAAATTAAAAAATCTTAAAAAAATAAATGTCAATTTTTGAATGGATGGATATGCGCTCTGTGACCAGGATATGAGAATGCTGTCCAACTTTATCAGAAGCAAGAGACCGCATGGTATAGCTATCTGCTGTCTTGATAGAACAGCTGTCAATGTAAGTTTATTCTTATATCTTCTGTTAAGCCTTAATAGCTGTTTCTGTAATTTTTTCTCCATTTTCATTTTCTTTTTGATTGAAATTTAACCCCACAAAATCTATTTTTTAACATTTTTGGTTTGTTTGTGGTTTAAACTCGAAGCTTTTAACTATTAAGTATTTTTTTTAATTCCGCAGAAAATATTTTTGGAAATCCACGAAATTTACAAGAAAGCGGGTTTTCCTGGATAAACTATTTCCCTGATTTTAGGTATTGGGAGATCTAGTTCAGATCTGTACAGATCTTTCCAACGAAGACGAAGCTTTTCCTGAGCTCAAGGTCAGTACGATATTTGACAAGCTGGGGGACCAGACTCGAGACATGGTTCAACCACCTCTCGTTAGTTTGAACCGAGGCGCACAATAGAAGTAGTTGATTTACGTTTGCTCGGTTCAGCTACTTGGTCCTGGGACTCGTAGTTTAACTCACTTAGTCTTAAGTTTTAAGTTATGATATTAAATGGGCCAATGCGCATGAAACATAGAAATTGAGTTTATTTATTAAGTTGATTTCTAAGCTTTTTGTAAGCCTAATTGATTTTTAACAACATTCATTGAAAATAAGATTGCATAAATGTCGTCTTTTTATCTCAGTGTTATGGATCCCACTTTTCATGAAGGATATGCATCTTTTTTGTTGGTTGATTTTCTTTAACTTCTTAAGATTATATAATATTTATCATTGTACAATTGTACATTGTACATTGTTTGTTGGTTGATTTTCTTTAACTTCTTAAGATTATATAATATTTATCATTGTACAATGTACATTAAATATTAACAGCTTTTCATTTTTTTTAATAATTTCTTTTTTATAATAACTTTTGAAGAAATTGTTTTGGATTGTACTTTAAAAAAATATAGTAATTAATTTTTAATATTCTTTATTTCTAAATTTTTGTATTCAAAAGTTGTGTTGAAACTTTTAGTTTTCCGTTTAAAAATAATTTTGCTATTTTTAGCAAAAACTATTTTTATTTTAGTGCGTTATGGTAGACAGCAATTTGGCTACAGTTTATTCTAATACAAACAAATCAAATACAGACTTCAGGTATTCATTCATTCATTCATTCATTCATACTTACATCCTTCCTTTTATTCATCGTTTCATTCGTCCTTTCATTCATTAATTCATTCATTCATTCTTTTATTCATCGTTTCATTCGTCTTTTCGTTCATTCATTCATTCATTCATTCATACTTACATCCTTCCATTNTTGCTTTGACTGTAGGTTGAATGAATAATAATAAAAACTTTATAAAATGAAATTAGGCCAAAATTCTCTAATTCGTCTTTTCGTTCATTCATTCATTCATTCATTCATACTTACATCCTTCCATTCGTCCTTTCATTTATTTATTCATTCATTCATTCATTCATCCTTACTTCCATTTTTTTTTAAATTATTCTTTTGTTGATTTATCCTCTCATTTAAGCATAAATAATCATTTTTATTTATTCAATATCTTTTTACAATTTGATTATCTTATGTACTAATATGAGTAATAATACCCGTTACCATTTAAATTGTAATCTGAGAAACCACGAGGAAATATTTCATCTTTTGTTAAATTCTGACATTTCACTTTATTGTCTCGGCCACATAAATCCGAAAATTTAGAAAATCACTATTAAAAATTATCAGATAGGAAAATTTGGATATCTTCCTTTGTCAGACAAAGGTTGATAGGATACTCGTGTAAATCAGACACGCCCCTCTCTACACGCCACTCCCTACTCTCTGTACCCAACAGTCTTTGTACAATGTACCTACTACCTAGATCTCCCATTTCTCTATCTTATATTCCGTCCAAGTCTCTCATCAATGTGAAACATATTTATCTACCATTTTTTTAGTTACTATTTATCTATCTGTATCTTACTACTTATTTACATGTAAATTACATGTATATTTACAAATTGTATAGGTACAAAATACACACAGGTCTCATACCAGTCCTCTAATGATCTATCTATCAATTAATCCTACATCTATCTATTTATCAATCCATCTACCTACTCATCTATTTATCCATCTATTCATATATCCATCGATCTATTTATCTACAGGCGCGGATACAGAGGGGGGTCAACGGGTAAAGAGTATCTTCATACCCCCCCCCCTTTTTAGAGACTATAACTTAAAAGTTTACTATCTATCTATCTATCCATCTATCTGCAGGATCTGGTTCAAGAGGAGGATCTGCTGAAAGCCTTGAACCAGGAGTTTATTAACAAAGTGAATATGGTTGGTGTTGATATAAACGAGTGTGTAGCTCACCCCCATACCTCCTACCTGGTCCAGTTTATCGGGGGCCTAGGGCCCAGGAAGGGGGCAGCACTTCTAAAAACTCTCAGAGGAATGTCAAATCCCAGGTAGAGAGATTTATATTTTCTTAAAATAAATCCCCCCCTCCCCCCCCCCCAAAAAAAAAAAAAATATTTTTTTGGGAATATATTTAATTTTTGTGGGGTGGGGCGTTAATTAAAAAAAGAGATTAAAAACCTTTTCATCCCCAAAGTCTTTCAAACTATATTGTTATTTGGGTCCAAGTTACCATAGATATAAATTATACATACAACAAACCTTATAATATGTAACAGACAGTAGCTTATAACAAGTTGTAACATATGTCCTTTTATCGTTATACAGATATATAATATGTTATGCATTTTAGGATATATTTCTTACGTTATCCTTGCATGTTATACGTTATACTGTTATATTCTGTGTAGGCTAGAAAACAGACAACAGCTCGTGACAAGTTGTCATATGGGTCCCAAGGTTTTCATCAACTGTGCTGGTTTTGTTAAGATAGATACTACAGCTCTAGGTCAGTATCATTATTATTGTTATTATTTTTATTATTATTATCTAATTAAAAAATCATGAATATCTCGTATATTCTTGAACATTCTTTGTAACTTTGCCTATAGGACATGATACTTGCTTTGACTGTAGGTTGAATGAATAATAATAATAACTTTATAAAATGAAATTAGGCCAAAATTCTCTAATATTAAGGTACTAGACGGATCCAGGATACATAATAGACCCTATAATGGACCAGGAAAATATAATTATCAATCTAGGAGATTCTGAACAGTATGTAGAGGTACTGGACGGATCCAGGATACATAATAGACCCTAAAATGGACCAGGAAAATATAATTATCAATCTAGGAGATTCTGAACAGTATATAGAGGTACTAGACGGATCCAGGATACATAATAAACCCTATAAAAGAGCCAGGAAAATATAATAATTAATCTAGGGGATTCTGAACAGTATATAGAGGTACTGGACGGATCCAGGATACATAATAGACCCTATAATGGACCAGGAAAATATAATTATCAATCTAGGAGATTCTGAACAGTATATAGAGGTACTGGACGGATCCAGGATACAAAATAAACCCTATAATGGACCAGGAAAATATAATTATTAATCTAGGAGATTCTGAACAGTATATAGAGGTACTAGACGGATCCAGGATACATAATAAACCCTATAAAAGAGCCAGGAAAATATAATTATTAATCTAGGGGATTCTGAGCAGTATATAGAGGTATTAGACGGATCCAGGATACATAATGAAGCGTATGAGTGGGCTAGGAAAATGGCTGTGGATGCCCTGGAGTATGACGACGACGAGGTAATCTTTTTATTTTCTCGTCAAAGTCACTTATTTACCCAAAGCTATAATTAAGTATTAAAAACCTTAAATTAATGTTGAAAAACTGCTCAAATTATTTTATACAATTTTGTATTAATCCATTGTATATAAACTTTGAATAATAAATTGGTGAACAAAAAGAGAGATTGTATTTTATATTTTGAATTAAATTTGAATTATTTTTAAGGAGGAAGGTAACCCTGCCTCTGCAGTAGAGGACATACTTAGGTAATTTTTTCATTTATTTATTTATTCGTTTTTCCTTTTACAACAGATGTAAATTCATTTGTTCAATTATTCATTCATTCATTTTTTATTCATCCTTGCATGAATTGATTATTTTATTTATTCAAACATTTATTCATTTTTCCTCAGACAATAGATATAAATTCGTTTGTTAGGACTGGACTGGACTGGACCGGACCTGACCGGACCGGATATGGTTCATCTGTATGGATCTGGATCTGGATCTTGATCTATATTGATATTATATCTAGGTTAAAGTTTGAAGAACCTAGTTCTGAAGATATATTTGATATTATATCTAGGTTAAAGTTTGAAGAACCTAGTTCTGAAGATATATTTGATATGACATACAAGGAATCTCCAAAAACCTTCTATGTTGGAAAACTTATGCAGGCTAGAGTTGAAAGGTTTGTATCTTGCTTTTTAAAATACAGTTTTTTTGATGTTTTGAATTATTCAGATTTTATTATTTAAGTAAATAATCATTTCTTTTACTTGAAGTTATAATGACAGTTTTTATTGCAAGTATTCTTTTCACCTATTAACATTTTCTACCTGCGATATATTACAGTCTAGGGGTGATATTTCATTTTTTTCTCAGAAATTCATAAATAATTTTTCTCCATATAAACCCTTGTATTACACATCCTTAAAAAGGGCTTTATGTCCGAAAAAAAATTTTCAATTTAAATTGACGGAGCTCTGATTTAACAACTTTACAGTCCACAAGGATTAAACTTAATCCGCTGGACCACAAAAAAATATGGATTAGTCATTTCTGAACGGATTAACGTTACAGTAGTTCCGAACTCTATAGTTAATTTAAAATACCTATTAGGTTTCAATACAAGCGACCCCCTCAAGAAGATCTAGACAAAGCAGCTCCTGTCAGGTAACCTTTACAGGAACCATCCTAAATATTCTTAGTGTTCTTTGTGGATGACCATTGACCACATTTGAAGCCAGCATGCCAAATTTCAGCCTTCTCGCTCAATTTCCAAGGCCGTACGCAACCTGTACAATAACCTAACCACTAATTTCTTTTAATTTTAAATAATCTCATGGAATTAAAAACCCTAATCCCTGTTTTTTGGGGTCACCCAGTAAGAAATAAGAAACCCCTTGTCTCTTGTCTATATCAAGGAAAGGGCAAACTAACCTCTAATCCCTTGTCTGTATCTAGGAAAGGTGAACCTCTAATTCCTTGTCTGTATCTAGGAAATGGTAAACTAACCTTTAATCCCTTGTCTGTATCTAGGAAAGGGGAAACTAACCTGTGGGAATGCCCGTTCTGTGGGAAGAATGATTTCCCTGAGTTGACCGAGGTCTGGAACCATTTTGATGCGGTCAACGACTGCCCGGGCAAGTGTGTCGGGGTGGCGGTCAGACTGGAGAATGGTATTCAAGGATTTATTCATATTGCGGTAAATATTCATTATTTTGTTAATTTAAATAGCTGGTAATATTCATTTATTTATTTCCTAATTATTTCACCCAATTTGTTTCAGTCATTTCGCCAGCTATAGCTAACATATAAACATATATATTTATAAGCGAAGAGCTTTATTATATTTTTATTTTTATTTTTTAATTAATGGGTGACTATTTATTTATTTATTTCTTTATTAATTCATTTATTCCTTCGTTACTTCGTTACTTTGTTACTTTGATAATTTGTTAATTCGTTTATTTGTTTATTCGTTTATTGGTTTATTAGTTACTTTGTTTATTCGTTACTTTGTTACTTCGTCTGTTCGTTTGTTCGTATGTTCGTTTGCTTGTTTGTTTGTTTGTTTGTTTGTTTGTTCGTTTGTTCGTTGGTTTGTTGGTTTGTTATTTTATTCTTTACTTCGTTTATTCGTTTATTCGTTTATTCGTTTATTCGTTTATTCGTTTATTCGTCTATTCGTTTATTCGTTTATTCGTTTATTCGTTTATTCGTTACTTCGTTACTTCGTTTGTTCGTTAAATCGTTTATTCATATATTTATCATAGCCATTTTTTAACTATCAGTATTTGTATCTATCTATCAATTTCTATCTATGTAGGAACTATCTGATAGTACAGTACTGTGCCCGGAGGACCGGATGAAGATAGGGCAGAATATCTATGTTAGAATAACAAAGATTGACGCAGAATCCTCCAGAGTAAGTTTTATTGATTAATTATCTATCCGTTCATTTAGTTGTCCTTCATTTTTATTTCTGTGTTGATTTATAATCGATAAATCTATTAAAGTCATCGATTGATTTATGATTAATGGGTTGTCAGGTTGACTGCATGATGATTGATTGATTGATCGATTGATTGACTGTTTGATATATGGATTGATAAGATTGATTAATTGATTAAAAAGAGAAATAACAATTGATTGATTTATTAATTAAAAAGGGAAATCACAATGGNATGATTTATTGATTATTAAATTGATTTTTTTCATAGATGGTTACTTGATCGATTGTTAAATGAAGGACTAATTGGTTTATTGGTTGGTGGTTGGTTGATTAATTGATTGATTGATTGCTTGATTGATTCAGGTGCATTGTACGAGTAAGACCTCTGCTCTGCGTGATGTAGAGGATGCGTTTAGACAAGCTAAAGATGATCACTATGACAGGGAAGCTGAGAAGAAAGAAACAGGGACGCACACTTAGCTTTTCATTTTTTAGTTTTATCTTTCAGTAAAATCATTTCTTTTTTGTCTCTGTTGCCGAAATCCGCATTTCGCATATTATTTCGCCTTGATTGCAACGCATGCAACACAGAAAATTAGAAGAAAATTAATTGAAAGATTGATTTGAACCAATAACTATGTGTGTTTGTCTCCAGCTGCTGAGGTGAAACAGATTAAGGACAAACTGAAGGCCTCCTACGTCAAGCGGGTGATAACTCATCCTTCATTCCAGAATATATCTTTCAAGGATGCAGAGAAACTATTAGAACAGATGGAACAGGTTTAATCTCCCCCCCCCCCCCCNATTTTTAATTTTTTTATTACAATATTTTTTATACAGTGAAAAGCAGCTACCTCAAGTGGGCGGCTAACTGATTTCTAAAAAAAATCACAAATCAATCACCCCTAGTGTACATTCCCTTTAAAGAAACTTTATAATTTAAATATGGGTTATCCATCCAATATCCATATTCCATATATCTTCAGATTTTTCGAAAAAAATTGCATATTTTTTATATCAATGTTTTTCAGGTAACTGACAACATTTACCAACATGTTAATGTGCGGGAGGAGGGGAAGGTCAACGCTTTCTCTCTGGGATCCTCCCTCTGGATTGGCACTGAAGAATATGAGGTTATTATTGTGGCAAACTTTTATCAAATAAGTTCATTGTAAATATTGTGGCAAACATGTATTGGTTGAGCTTTTTTAAGTTAATGGATGTCTTTATTTTAAGTATTGTGGCAAACTTTTAATAATTAAAATGTTAATCCTGAAAACTTTTATTGGATTAGTTTAAAAAGTTTGGGGCAAACTTTTATTGGATGCGGCAATTGTAAATTGTTGCAAACTTTTGTTGTTTAAGAGTATTGTGAATTGTATGGCAAAGTTTTATTGAATTTGTTAACTAGTTTAAATATTATCTATTTATGTAGGATTTGGATGAGATTATCGCAAGGTTTGTAAACCCTATGGCGAGCAACACCAGAGATATTATCAATTTTAAGGTGAAATACATATTTATTGCTGCGGTATTTTTTTCCACTAAAGAACTTCAACGAGGGGAGGAAGGCCAGCCACAACAATTTCTCGTCCGAGCCACATTCTTCTCATTTTCTCGTCCGAGCCACCTCGGAATCCTCGTCCTTCGATTATTTTGTGTTAAAAGTTACCAATTCTTGAAGATAGAACTATTTTTTTTTAATCTGGCCACGTAAGGGCGTAAAGTATGGATGGACTAAAGTATTGCAATGATTATATCATGTTGGAATCTTCAACCCCATGAGAATGATGTCAAACTTTATTTAGGTAAAACTTAAATCTCTTCTGCCTCCGTAATGGCTAACCTTTGTGATATAAAAAAATGGCAAAATATTCGGCATACCTCTGCCTCTAATTTTCCCCACGGAACCACCCGGAACAATTTTATGGTTTTATAATTAACAAAAAAGATTAAAGTTCTATAAACTTGGAATTATTTGCGGCATTCTACACCAGGAATATCTGAAAATGCGCGTAAAAAAGGTGAACATTTTTAAAGACATTAAACTTGAAATCTTTAATTAAATTGAAACTATTTTTTTCAATTCATAAGAATTTTACATTTCATTTATGCCCTAACGTGGCTTGATTCTTAAAAAATAGATTTATCTGGAAGGATTAGACACTTAAAAAAAATAATATTGAAAGGACGAGGATTTCCAGGTGGTTCGGACGAGAAAATGAGGAGAATGTGGCTAGGACGAGAAATTGTTGTGGTTGGCCTTCCTCCCCTCCTTCAACACCCCCTCACCCCGAAAAAAAATAGAAGGATCAGTGGTGTTTTTATTATTATTTTTGTTTTGTTTAGTATTACAAGAATGGGAACAAGACTATGGCTGAGGAGTATCTTGTGAAGGAGAAAAAAGGAAATATGAGTAAAATTCCGTACCTACTCACACCTAGTAACGAATTCCCAGGTATTATTAAACCCCCTCACCCTCGCGGGTATTTTTATTTTGGGAAAGATGACTTGGCTAGTTTTACCTAACAAACAAACAGAACGTATCACATAAAAAATCCCCCCCCCCCCCCTCCAAAGCAAGTTTTTCCTAACAGACAAACAGAACGTATCACAAAAATTCCCCCCCCCCTCCAAAATAAAAGATTATATATATATTTATAAGTATCCTAGAGTTTAGCGATAAAACCCATCTAACAAAAGTTCTGGATAAAGGGAGAAGAAATGATATTTTTATCTACTTCTGTTTTCCCAAATTGTGTCTTATAGTCCGTTGTTTATCTACATACTAGACATATTAAAAAAACAGATTAACTATTTATTTTGTTCCAGGAAAGTTCCTGCTGAGCTATTTACCAAGGATCAAGGTCCATCATGAGTATGTGTCAGTAACCCCAGATGGATTCAGGTAAGATCTTGTCCTTGACCTTGACCTTGACCTTGACCTTGATCTTCACCTTGGCCTTGTACTTAACCTTGACCTTGACCTTGTACTTGATCTTGACCTTGACCTTGTCCAGTGATCTTGCCCTTGACCTTGACCTTGTACTTGATCTTGACCATGAACTTGATCTTGATCTTGATCTCGACCTCGACCTCGACCTTGACCTTGACCTTGATCTTTATGCCCGATTCACAGAGGTACCCTTAAAACCTTTTCTGATCAATGATGTGGAATATATTGTCGTTTTTCTAGATTAAAAAGTGTTAAATTCTGATAATGAATAAAAGTTTCCTCCAGTAGAAATTCCCAATTCACTTTTTAAGAGAAACCAATTTTGAAAATAATCAGTTTTCTTTCATTCATAATTGATAAGACAAAGCTAATTAGTATACTGTTCTAAATCGGGCATTGACATTTTTGCATGGAGGGTCATTTGAAATTTCGCTTACAGTCCCTTTAAGTCTTAATTCTTCCTCAATACAAGGTTAAATCATGAATTTTGCAAAATGTATTTAACTCGTTTTTTCTTCAGGTTCCGAACTCTAAACCATGATTCTCTCACCTCCATGATTAAATGGTTTAAGGAACACTTCAGGGATCCTATCCCTGGCACCCCCTCCGCCTCTCCCGGCGTTAGGGGCACCCGAACCCCCTACGGAAGCCGGTCAACGCCAAGTCTCCGCCCAGGGATAACCCCAGGGGCGATGAGTATGGCGGGTGGGAGTACACCCTATGGTGGAACTCCAGGGTATGGAAGCCGACAGAATGCGGCTTATACGCCGACAGCTAATACCCCGGCGATGACACCATTCCTGACTCCAGGTAGAGATTTATAAAGAGCCCTCTAATCATAATACATTGATTATGCACATTAAATTAGCCAGAATTCCTGAACTCAAACTTTTAGAGGTCTAGGAGCACTTTAACCAAATCAAAATATCCCCTCATGACATCCTTTGTTCTTTTCTAAATTCATTTATCTACTAGCTTGGGTACCTTTGCCTGGAACCTAAACTTTTGCTATAAAAGTCATCTCATTCAGCTCAACCAAGCTTAGAACAATCCTATGGTTCTACTGAGTTCCCCAATCAAAAATTGAGGAAAAACGGTCAAGGGGTGCATGAAGTTATTGTTCAAACAAACAGAGATTTCTACTTAATATCTACTATTCTTAATTTTCAGGTCCCTCTAATACTCCTCGGGGGTACAGTGGTGGAACTCCTAAAGCCGGGTTTCCAGGTACAACTTGTATTTATTTGGCAGAAAATCATGTTTATACATCAATCTAAGTCCATTGGGAATCATTGATTTTTCATTGAAAATGGGGATTAAAAATTTTTTATTTGGAAACAGAAAAGAATAAGTTGTTGTATTTATTGCCATTTTTTACATTGGTAAAAACATAGTTGTGAATAATGATTTGCTTTTAACTGAAAGTGTGTTCAGCATTCACTATTTGAGAGTATATTGACGATTAATATTTTAGGATCCAACACCCCCCGCAGTACCTACGGTGGGAACACCCCTCGAGGGGGTGGTAGCACAACTCCCCGTCCCTCTGGAAGCCAGACCCCATCCTCCAGACCTTCTGCATCGCCCGCCTACAAGGGGCGTGGCAGTGGTGCTGGGAACGCCTGGGCTGCCGCGGCCGAGAGTTGGGCTGGTGGCGCCGGGCGCCGCACACCACGTGGAGATGACCGAGGACAGAAGGGATACTCCACAACTCCCCGCTATGAAGACCCCAGGCTAACTCCCAAGTATGGTGGTCGTACTCCACAGCAGGGGCACTCGCAGCAGGGTCGCAGTTCAGCAGGCGGCAGGGGTCCTCCCTCATCACAGGGTAGTAGTAGAACTCCTCAGTACGGGCGGAACGAGGCGGCCGGATCAAACCGGGATAATAGGACACCACGTGGGCAGTTCGGGGACTCCACTCCACTCTACGATGAGTAGATGTACTCCATCACTCCAACTCGTTTAAACTTACTGGGGACTTAATTACTATGTTTCAAAGCCTTGTCTTAAAATTTCGATTTTATGCTTTGCCAAGTAGATTTTGTATTGCTTGGTAGATTTCATTCTACCGTTAAAAAAGTTAAATGCTACTCGTAGTAAATAAAATGTTACTTTTAGGTGATTTAATTCTGCTTCAAGTAGATTTAAGGCTACTTATAGTAGATTTAATGCTACTTCTAGTAAATTTAATCTACTTCTAGTAGATTTAATGCTACTTCTAGTAGATTTAATGCTACTTCTAGTATATCTAATGCTACTTTTAGTAGATTTAATGCTACTTTTAGTATATTTAATGCTACTTTTAGTAGATTTAATGCTACTTCTAGTAGATTTAATGCTACTTCTAGTAGATTTAATGCTACTTCTAGTAGATTTAATGCTTCTTCTAGTACATTTAATTTTACTTCTAGTGGATTTAACACTACTTCTAGTAGATTTAATGCTACTTCTAGTAGATTTAATGCTACTTCTCGTAGATCAAATGCTACTTCTAGTTGATTTCTTGCTACTTCGTAAATAAGGTTGAGATTTATGAATCTATAAGGAATACTGAATCTACTGTGTAATATGTATTGCATAAACCCCTATTTGAGAATGATGTTTCCTCAAAAGCTATTTTCTTCTTACAGTTTTAGTTTCAATATTCATTGTATTCTTGCAGGACTTTAATAAATATACTTTTTTCATTAATAATTTTTATTTGTTTTTCTTCAGTTTGTTTATTCTACATATTAGATATTAAAGGGACTGTAAGTTTAATTTCAAGTGTTACCCTTATTGGAATTCACAGCGTTACCCTTTAAAGCTTTGTTTGATCAATTACAAATTAGATTTCTATGATTACTATTTTTGAAAACTTATTATTCTCAGCTGTGGTTCCTCTAAAAAAGTGACTCGCGCATTTCTACTTCATGAAAGCAAATAGGAATTATCAGAATTTAATCCCTCGCCTTGGGAAATGAATGAAAAACTGGATATCTTTAACCCCTAAAATATGTTTAGTGTTTACTTTGCGGAAAGATACATAAACATGAAATACATTAAGACATTTCCCGCCTGAAGAATGTTTCTAAAATCTAGTGATCATGGGAATTTTAGACTGAGGCCAGGCCGTTAAGTCTTAAGAAGTGCACCCTCCCACACAATGATTTCCTGTAGTTTGTCTTCTAGAGTCACTTAGTCAGAGTTGGGAACTTTTGAATGGTGGATATCGGGATTAATGCTTGATCTACACTTTTTTATCTCAAGATTAAATAATGCTTGCTCTCCTCTTGTTATTAATCTCCAGATTAATTAACCGATCGGGATTAAGGATATCCCATTCTAAAGTTTTCAGCTCAGTATAAGTCAGGCCTGTCTGGATTAAACCAATGACCAGCTTCAAGTGTTATAAAATAAAAACTGTGTTAAAGGGACTGTAAGCATAATTTCAGCTGGCCCTCTGAAAAGATTATACAATGTCCAATTTACAACGGTACTCCAAAGAGCTGTGTCTGATAAAGTATGAATAAGATATCCCTGTCTTTTTCTCTTTTTTTTTGTAGTTTCTCTACAATTTCTCTTGCAAGCAGGGTCACTTGAAATTACGCTTTCAGTTCCTTTGAATAGATACATTGATCTTATCCGTGAACTGAAAAAAAATACTGCTTAAAGGGAGTGACCGGCTATGTAAGGTAGTCGAACTGAGTATGCAGTGTTGTGGAAAGCTTCTTTCGGATTCATTTGAGACATATGAAACTTTATAAAGATCTTTAAATCCTGAGTTTGAGCGCAAATTCGATGTTCAAAACTCCTATTTTGGGGGTGGATACGTATTTAGAATTATTTTTTTTTAATTATTAAATAACGACTACATAAAATGTAAAAAAGTTCTACAATAAACTACAGACGTCATGTATAGGAACATGTTGAGAAAATAAAAATTAATCTTATCATCAAAAATAAGTAATCTTGTTAAATTATTAGTTTTTATTTTCTCTTTATTCACAAAGATTTTCTGCAGATTTCCTAGAATTATTATTGAAAAGACTTTGAAGGAATCTGCGAATAAATTCAAAGAAAATAAGAAATTCCATTCAATAACGAAAACGAAATAATCGATTTTAGCATTTATTTATTGACAAAGAAACATGTTCCTAACCATCTAATTAGATTACTGTATTAGTTTTACTTTTATTTTTCGTTGTCGTTATTTAATGATTTAAAAAAACTAATTCTGAAAACTAACTCCCAGATTGTATCCGTGAACTGTAAAAGATACTGCTTAACCCCAAGATTGTATCCGTGAACTGTAAAAGATTCTGCTTAACTCTAAGATTGTATCAGTGAACTGCAAAAGATACTGCTTAACTCCAAGATTGTATCCGTGAACTGCAAAAGATACTGCTTAACTATAAGATTGTATCCGTGAACTGCAAAAGATACTGCTTAACTCCCAGATTGTAAACATGAACTGCAAAAGATACTGCTTAACTCCAAGATTGNGTGTTTGTTGTATTTACTATTTGTTGTGTTTGTTGTATTTACTATTTGTTGTGTTGTTGTATTTGTTGTGCTTGTTGTAGTTGTTGTATTAGTTGTATTTACTAATTTGTTGTATTTGTTGTCTTTGATGTTTTTGTTGTATTTTAATTGTTTTTGCACATAATCGTACTGCAAAACAAGGTGTGTAAACTGTGGGTGTAGGGGTTTATGTACAATTTACTGTGATGTATTAAACCGTATTACCCATATAAAATGAGACTCTTAAGCACATTAATCGTCCTTGTCCTGTCCTTTCACTGTTATATAAAAGTCTCAAGCTCTCCAGCAAAAATTGATGAGAATTTTGCCTTTTATTTCTTAAGAACCAAAGCTAAAAACAAAAGCATGTAAAGGGCTACAGAAAAACATAAGTGAGTTAGTTATGAGCGGTAAAATTAACGCCCACTTTCAAGTCGACCCTGTCTTAAAAATTTATGAGACTTTTTATAAGCATGCTGAATCTATTTATGTACGTTTCGTCTGTTTGTTTACTGTACTAATTGCCCAAGCAGCCTTTATGTCGGTGCGGTACTTCAAATGAGTCGGAGTTTTCTGTGCAGAGAGGCAATATTTCTGCAGAAAAAAATAAGTCTGCAGAAATAGTCTTGGGTTTCTTTCTTTGCAAAAAACATATAAAAGCAATAAAGAAACAGCCTTCAATATTTTATACAGGGCTACTACCCACAAAGACTGAGACGACTGTACGCAATATCTGGAGATTTTTTCTTACAAGTCGGGTTGTCTGGAACTTTGTATATTTTTTTTGTCAAATAACCAAAAATGATAAAATGGCTAAAATCATAATTTACGACAAAGCGCGGGTAAACAGTGAGACTGACAATGGGCAACGCTGGGTTCCAAAGCTAGTATATATATAAAGTAGTAATCTCCGTTCGTATGTTTGTATTCCCAATCATAACTCAGGATCCCCTAGACCGATTTGCGTCAAATTTTGAATTGTGAACTCTGTAGAGTGGGTTGACTTTTATAGAGAAAAATTAGGTTAGACAAACCTTAAAAGACCTAAATTTTTTTTTTTTTGTGTTTGTTTGTTTTTTATTCGAACAAATTTAAATAGTGCACCAGGCATATAGATCGTTAAATTTTAATCATTTTATTTTTATTTTGTTAAAAAAAGGTTATTAAAAATGTCCAGTTTGGTTGAAGCAGTGGTAACCTCTAGCAGCCTTAATATTTCACACTCAGGAATATATTTTCATCTATATA